CGCTTCGATATTGACCAATGCTTCGATATTGACCAATGCTTCGATTACCGGTATCAGAGCCGTGTTTCGAGGTTTAAAACCGCGCAGTAGGATTTTCAAGTCTGGGGTAAAACATCTCAAGCAAATGTTTACTTTCAAGTCACAGCAGTACCAGCATTATACACCAAGAACGCGGCACCAGTTTGTAATGTGCCTCCATGAGTCGTCAAGTTGGGTGTTTCTAGAGTACCGAAATGTTGGGCATTGGCGCTCTCTGATTGGTCGATCTGGCGACGCGCAAGTCCTCGTTTGAAGCACTGGGCGATAGATGATTTGTGTGCAATCCGGTGAAAGTATGTATCTTTTGATTGTCTACCGACAGCGCTGTTTGTCATAGTCTGTAACCCTGCCGTTTCGAATATTCTATATTTGCACTGTGCATATTTGTTAAAAGTGGTCTGAAATCAGAAAATCCCGATTAGCTCAGTTGGTAGAGCGCACGACTTTTAATCGTGTGGTCGCGGGTTCGAGCCCCGCATTGGGAGTTTCCAATCTTTTTGCTCCTACAATTGTGCCTTCTTTTTTGCATGGATGGCATCGCTTGACACGCATGGACAGCACCTCTCAGCACCAGCATCCGCCGCATAAACATCGCCGCTGCTCTGCATCACACCTCGCGCTCGTCAATATTCATTTCATCGTTCTTCTCACTGTATTGCTTGCTATACCTGGATGGAACCTCACAAGTCGTCGACCGCAGACACTGGCGTCGAAGCGTGCGTGTAAAATGGACCCTCGCTCACGCACGTGACGCGCGTCGCGTCGATGATGGCGTCAGGCGTTTCCTTGCTCGAGAGCGCCTCGGCCCCGTCGACCAGCCAAAGCAGTAGCGCAGCGTCGCCCATGCAAACAGAATGCAGAAAAGCACCGCGACCAGAAGAATAAACCACGCTGGGTACGCTACGGCACTCGTCGTCGTCGGTGTGTCCGTCGCCATTTTGTTGTCGTGTGCGCACCAGAGACAAATCGAAATTGATCCGAAAGGATCCCGTCTCGGGCATTTGTTTGCATTAGATTGTGGCTGCAACAACCCACAGCAATATAACGTTCATCAACACAGTCATACTGGCCGTCAGCTCAACGCAGGAGCCTACGTGCTCGGGAGTAGTAGACAGCATCGACACCGGGACAAGTGTCAATGATCGCCTTCGTCTGCACGGTCCAAAGCGCCTTGTTCTGTGCAATGACGGTGAGCTCCTTGAGATCTTTCATGTTTCGGAGGCGCTTCTAGAAAGACGGGACGGTGACGAGATCGGCCTCGAGCACACGTGGCAGCGTCGTGATCGGGCAGCCGGGCCACGGTGCAGCGCCGGAGCGTCCAAAGTACTCACGCATCGCGAGGTTTTGACCGGGATGTGGGGCGCGCTGCGAAGGATGTGACCAAAAAGATATATCTTCGCACGTAGTACAGGTACGCACACCACTTCTTGCAAATTTACACTACACACGACTCCACTGTGCGCGTCTCCTTGAATATTGTCAGCGATTTTATATGCCTTTTTCGCCTCAGCAACATTTGATCAGCTTTACAACTGTGCAATTATCATTGCATCGACCAGACATTGACAGCGAACACAAATATTCCACATGCATAACTAATAGACTAACTCACTAAGTCAATCGGCTAGCTCTCCCATTTGATACCACATACAACTGCAAAAGATTCGAGGCAATTCGTACTCGACGCGCCGACACAAACCATCTCAATATCGACCACGAACGCTCTTTGTCTCTGGGGACGTGGGAAAACATTCGGTGCGTCAGCCCAGCGCTTGTATTGCGTGTCTACGACAATATTGACCAGCCTAAGCCTAACTACATAATTCACTCTCCAATTTGCATCACTGTGTCCAAACCTCCTCTCAGGGCTTAGGGTCTCAACACGGCGGTGAAGCATAAAGAATTCGTCGTACG